TTCTTTTGCGTGAAACTTTTTTGTTCCGAAAGAAAACGATAGCCGCTAGCCAGCGCTGTGTTTGTTTGTGTCTTCCACTTGTCCTAGTGTTTATCTTTGTGCTGTTTTTGTTTCTCTGAGCTTGCTACTCTCTATGACTGGTGGTTTCTCCTCCCGTATTCACATAAATAAAGTGGAAAGAGTGCTGCGCTTTGTGGGTCCTGCTATTCTTAACATGCAAAAGACTATAAGCTGCCCGGCTGTGAAGTAAAAACTCAGCAAACCAGTAACCATTCATTCATAACTAGGCCATTGTTTCTGGTGTATATTTACAAGAAAAATTTTCGAATATTTTCAGTTTATTTTTTAAATATTGGTGCATTTCAGTGATCTGCTTCAGATATACACAAAAAACAAGTTACAGAAAGGAAAAAAAAATCTCATGTATAAAAAAAATTAGGAATTCTAGTCCAAAAGGGGCACTTTTGACAAAAAAAAAAGGTCCTAGCTAGTGCAACAATTTCGAGATATCGGTGCTTTTAAGTTTTATCGGATTCCATAGTTTTGACGACAAGGGACGTTTATTGGTGTATATTGGCATTTCTCGGATAAAACCAGAAAGTCTATGGCCTATCCACAACGTATCCGGCCCCGCATATAGCACCCTAGAGTATTACACCTGAAAAGTTGGCTTCATCGCCTCTAAAAGTTTTCCCCAGACGTAGCCACCAAATCAATCGGTGTCTTACACCGTGGATTCACTCGAGACCCCGTTTTCGGTTTGTCCTTTTGTATTAAGACCTTGCATCTTGCCACTGTTACCAAGCTCTTAAAAGCAAACACTAACACGACACGTGCACACACTAATTTCCCTATGAAAACTTTGGACTGCCTTCCGAAACTAGTGCACGTGCCGCGTCGTCACAGATTCCGGGAACGTACACCAAACATAATGGCAACTAAAAGAATGAGGAAAGAAAAGGTATTGCTCTACCACAAACAACAAAGTGGTCAGTCCAGGACTTTTTCTTCCTTTGACAAGCTTCGTCCTGCGTACATAATGTCTAAACACAATTGATATTTGCAGCGTGTACGATGCGCATAGAACAGAACGCCGCGACCCCGCGTCTTGCGGGAGTTTGCCCTGTTAGAGATCCCGGGAGGGGAAAAGAAAAAAACTAAACACTGAAAATGGTGCTGCAGCAAAGAAAAAAAAAAGACTGGAGGCATTTTTCTGTCATTCTACTCATCCCCCCCTCCCTCAAAACCTTCCAAAACTCGTGAGAGTCCAAAGAAAGAAAAAATTTAAAGGTCACTTAAATATTACACTCTTCCTTTCCTACAAAGTCCATTTGAATAAGGAGGTGGCCTCAGCGTCCGCTCCACATGACTGCCTCCACCCAATGGGGAGGCAGACGCAAAATCTCTGTTTGCCGACAAAAAAGATGTGCCCCGACCTCTCGAAGGTGCGTCTGTCGACGGTGCAGACGATCCTGTAACAAGTCGCCACAAGCGCAGAGGGAAGGCGCAACGATCACAAAATGGGAAACCAAAATCAAAAGTGGGTACACGGCCGGCACTGCCATAATGGCACTTTGTAATAACCCACCTTCCGCAGCTCCGGCGGCGACCAGCCTCCAGAGACGAGTTGTGCGACCCCTGAGGGGTCACGCAACTCGTCTTTGTGACGTCGTCTGCTAGCATCGTGCTCGTTGTGGGACGCCACAAGATGTGCTCGCGGCAACGTGAGCTAGGCTGGCTAACGTTGTGGCTCCACAGCAGGGATGTATGAGGAAGGATGACGCAGGCCTCGTCTTCCGGTTGGTATTGATTCGGCACCTTTTACTCGGCATCAGACATTCTGTACTAAGTCGTCATGGCCAGCTTCCTTGTTGCCACGGCACAGCACTGCTGCGAGAGCACGTGGCTTCCTCTCGAGTTCCACTTACACATGTCTTAGTGCGAGCTACGCGCCAAGGAAAGCAATGTGCTCGTGCACATATCTCCGACGACGCTCGCGTGCTAAGGAAGCTATGCCACCCCGGGCAACGTAGCACAAAATACCAGACGCAGAGATATGCCAGACGAGGTAATTGAGGCTTCATTGTGGTGCCAATAGAGAAACAGGAAGAAATGGAAAGATAGAAGCGAGCCGCGCAATTTTGAACGGCTTCAATCGGATTGCTTAGAACAGATTAGTGGGGATGCACCCGGAGTATTATGTTCCATAGTGTCTAACCCAGGGGTCTCAAACACGCGGCCCGCAGGCCGCATTCGGCCCGCGACTCGCTGGGACGCGGCTCTCAGGCAACCGGCTATGAGTCCCGGTTCCAATGTGTCGAGCGCTAGAAATAATATCCGCCATAGGAAGCTCATCTCGCCAGTTCGGTTTCGCTCGAAAAGTAGCTCTGCTCTTTTAACATATCAGATAGTTTATATTTATCTTTGTTCAATTTCCACTTGTTTCGATTTATTTTTTGCTTCCCAGCTTCTTGTAATGTACAATTCCGCTACTGGACTGCAAGCGCGAGCACTTCTTTGAATTATGCATCCTCTGATCTCTATGGATGCACCTCGGCTCCGCGAACTCTCGTTCAGCAAGAGAAACTGCCAAAGATAAAGCTACAACATCAAAATTCTTGCCATAAAAAAAAAAAAGAAGAAACACGTTTAAAAAACAAGTATTTGTTCAGAGTGTTGTAATAAAAATCGTCAGCAAAGTAAGAGCTGTACAATTAACTGATTGTCTTTTAGAGAGATGTTGAGCTCAGTTAATTCCTGGGTGAATTGAGCAGCAGGAACGGCAGTGCACTTGCTCTCTTGTTGTATTAAAGTGCCAGCACGTTGGAGGGACGGTGTTATTTTAATTCTTGGTATCACATCAGGTCAGGACCCACAGTAGTCATATTAAGAAATCAAACCTAATAATGTCACTCGAAAAATCTGTGAGTTTATCAAACAGCATAAAGCATGAGGTCTTTCCTCCTTGATATATTTTAAACCCCGTTTCCCCCCCACCCTCGTCTAACATTGGCCCTTGAACTTTTCGGTTTGGGCAATCTGGCCCCCACACTCAAATGGGTTCGAGACCACTGGTCTAACCGAACTGGGGATTCTAGCGACCTGATTGGCCTAAGCCGTTTTGAAGCACCTTTTGGAGCAGTCAAAACAGTGTTTTGGAGCAGCAAAAGTGGCCTTTGGAGCAGCCAACCAAAGTTTTGGAGCCGCAAAAGTGGCTTTTGGAGCAGACATTCCTAGAAAAACAAAAATACTTGTTTCAAGCGCTGGACAAACGAAGTGCACTTTGCACGCCGCAATAAACAAGTTATGGTCAACCTAGACCACCTGGGAGTCTTCCAACATGTAACTGAAATGCCAATGATATGACACATTTTGCAATGATTCAGTTAAATTGTACCCGCTATAGATAATTAAGAACCAAAGAGCACATATTAAAATTTATTTGACAATGACCAGCTAGTAGTGAATATCACAGCATTAGGTTGACTAGTTATATAATATAATAAATGCAAGCAGTCTCCGCCTGACAAAACACGTAACTTCTGCAGTGCAGTGCGAAACTGAACACAAGACAAAGGTGCATTACGACTAGTGGGTGCTTTTCTTTTTGCTTTTCGTAACTTTCTGCAAGGCATCTGCAAGCCTCACTTTGCCTTCGACAAGTAATGAATGTCCACTTTCAATGTCTCCAAAAAGACATTGAGACATCCCACGAGTGTACAGTGCTGTAGGCGTTGCCGAGCTATTCTGAAAAACCGCTTGCTACCATTTCACTGTTTTCCGAGGTGCCAGATTTTTGTCAAAAGTAGGCAAACGTGAAACAATAGATTGCAAGCGTCCCGGCTGGCGCCTCTGTCGTGCAATCATGTTCGCATGTACATGACAGCAACTTCGGTAGGCTTGCAGTTGCCTTCGTCGCGCACGCGGAGATGGGTGTTTAATTGAAACCGAAACCATGCCACTCCGCTCCGTCGCCAGCTGGTTCCCAAAATTGTATGTGAAATGCAACGATGCAACTGTCCAGCATACGGAAAAAAACAGTCCAGCGGCACAAGCTTGCCAGGCTGACAGGGCAAGGTACAGGCTAAACACAGAAAAGAGGAACCTGAGCGCATTGATGCAAGAAATCGCAAGCTAGGGTGAAAAAGTTCTTGGAGCACTTCGTGCAACGACTGAACTTGAGACAAGCAAGCGCGGTGTGCGGGTTCCGCGTGCAGACGTTGCCTTCTTTGCTTTAGCTCACTACCCTTCAGCAACTTTCTTTCGCGGAAAATTCTTCGCAAACCGGGGTCCCTCTCAAAAAAAGCCTACCGAGAGAAACCTAGGTAATCAATACTTCGACACAGCAGTCTTTGAGTTAAAGAGGGATTCTTGTAGTAGTCTATAATTTAAACAAGAACAGGAATGTTGATGAACAGGCGGCAGTCCTTAGATTTCAGTTCTGAAAGCGCCATATCTGCAGCGACGTGGAGACGGCAACACCCGACGTCGCGCGACCATGGTGACTGGCAAGCAGGGACCAAATATAATTTTTCCACGGCCGTTGCTTTCAGGAGGGAGTGCTTCAGCTCACAAAGTAACTCCCGCCATGCAAAAACGTGGTTTCGTTTAACAGTATGACGGCATGGCTGGCCTGGTACCTGGCACTCTTCCGTCGGAGCGTCCACACATGCCCGCGTCTATTGTTGAAGAAGTTTTAAAAGACGCAAGACGAGAGCGCGAAACGAGAGACGGCAGGAAAAACCATGCAAGACCGGATGAACCATTGATGCAGGGTACTTTGTGTCGGGCGGCCGCTTGCGCCGCCTAGCTCACGCATGCTCAATTACGGTACTCAGTTTAGTTTAGGTTTTGAAAGACGACCGAAATGGCTCCTCTGGTGCAGATTACCCATATTTTGGCAAAATGTAGCAGGATGTAGCAGGGTTCGCCTCTTGGCGCAGTTTGGTGCAACAATCACATCACTGGGATTCGAATAGGGCAAAAACATGACGAGTCACCTCGATCCGCCGATTTCCTGAGCCTCTTGTTGGCCACGTTGTTCTTCGCCACAGGCTCCAGACCGGTGGTGGGGCTCCGGGGGTACGGGTGCGCCAGAGGCGAGCCTGGCGACGTGGGTGCGGACCGGCACGCTGGACTCACGGGCTTGAACCCGCCATTGCGCGTCCTGGGCGGTGCTGCTGTTGTAGCCGCCGCCAACGCTGCGGGGGGCACCGGGCTGTTGGACACGCTAGAGCAGCTCGGGCTGATGCTGCGTGGCGCCACGACGCCGGCGAGTCGTGCCGGCCGCAGCGCCGGACTGAGCAGCTTGGATGCCACGATGGGTCCCAGGCCGGGTCCGGGGCCGGGCCCGACGCCAGGGCCGGGGCCAGGCCCCAGCGTGACCGGGGGCGTCGGGGCGCCGTTGGGGGTGCCGGTGCGCTCTGCCGGCGCGCCGCAGGGGAGCAGGCGGCGCCAGCTCTTCACCAGGTCCTTGGCCCGTCGGGCCAGCTGCTCGTTGCTCGTCTTTTTGCGCAGCTCGTTGATGTAGCGACCCAGCCGTGTGCGCTGAAACCGGCAGCCCGCACTTAGGACGGGAAAATCCTAGCCGCCGGTTGTCACCCAAAAAAGCGAGTTATGGGCAGGGTCTAGCAAACTTAGCCGGCGGTTGTTTGCCTAAAGCAACAACAGAAGGGTGTAAGAGGCTTAGCCAGTGGTTGCCGTTTAGGGTGCAGTAGCTGGAATGCATTTTCCACTGGCTGTGTGAGTCCTATACCACCTCGCGCCCATGTAAAGAAAAACATCGCCTTTCCAAATTTTGATTGAAAATGAAGCTTTTGCAGACTCTGACATTGGCTGCAACAGAGACCATGCCGGAGCTTCTCGGTGAAACCGTGAGGCTTGTTCTTTGCTCGACATGAGGTAACAAGAAGCGGCCTCTTGGCAGAATAAAAACTCTGTAGTTTAGCAAGTGGCCTAATATGTGGTACATTAGCACTGGACAAGACTGTTAATCTTTGAGCTCCAAGGTAAACCCATGATGTAGGGAAAGTAAACTATTGCCTGCCTACGAACGAACTCCGACATGCCGAGAACTTGCCTTAGCAATCCCGTATGGACCAACAATGTCTGCAACGTCACAAATATATGGGAAGTCAGACGCTTGAAAACGGAAGCAGCGTATTTGGTGGTGACGTAATGTGAAGTAAAAGTGACCAATGGAAATCAAAACTTAATGGCCAAATGGTATCCAAAATTCATCGCGTGGCATCTCACCGCTAGGATCTTTTTCCTTCTGGAAAAAGCCGAAGGAAGCTGACCGCGCAGAGTCAGATCACCCTCCTCTCCCTCGTTACATTCCGTCCCAACCAGTCTTTCCTGCCCCTCCACCAGTGAGCCTGACAAAACAATTATCCATCGCCAAATAACAAGAGCCATGCATCTTTTACTTTTGAAAACAAAGACTTCCTTCCTCTGTTCCGATAATGGAGGCTCAGCGTGTGGACGAAGGAACAGAAAATTATCCCTAATAATGGAAAGGTTAGCGGTGCCCAGAGACAGAGGAGCACTTAATCTGTCCCTTTCTGGTCCCTGCATGTTACCTCTTGGTGCCGTTATCCTTTCCCTTTGTGCCATTCATGCCCACATGTGTGCTCTTCTACAGCCTCCTTCCTGCTTTATATATGTATATCTATACACAAAGCATGTATCAATAAATACAAATACCATATTTCCAGACTAAACATGGTTAAAAGTTGCAAGGCTTTTTTTTTCTATAAGTTTGTTCATTATGATGAGATGCAACAAATTTCACTAATGGCAGAATATGTTAATCATTATTTCTGGATGATAAATGCCTCTTTGTGCATTAATAAAGCAGGCATTTTTCAAGATGTGCTGTGTAAAAACAAAAAGGAGTTTTTTAATTGCAGACCATGCATTAGATTCAAACTATGTAGAGTGCAAACCAAGGAAAAAACTTTTCTTTCCGCCGCAACTTGCTCCTACAGACTATGCATGGGCCACTGACTGTAGTCCTGAAAATATAGTACCTGTTCCACGCTGGATGAATGCGGAGAGTTTATTCCAAGCACTAATATTATTGAAAAAAAAAAAAAAAAATGTTATGGCCATTTAGCTTTGTTGTACACAAGTGCCTCAGGTTTCCTCGATTCCTTTCCCCTTCCCGAGGCCCGTTGCTATTCGCACAAGCACTCACCTCCAGGGCGTCCTTTGTGATGGGAGTTCTTTCCAGCATGCCGATAACCTCAATGACGGCAGCCATGTCGACCACCTGCGAGGAAGAGACAACCACATGTGTAAATGACCGTGCCAGCAAAAAACACACGCGTGTCAACCAGACTGTTTAAAAAAAACAAAAAAACATTTTGCTTCTTTTTAGGGTTTTTTTAACAGTGACTATCAGTGAAAACTAGTCTCATGATGTAAAAGTTATGCTAAAAGTATTTATTTTTATGGAGGGAAAGTTTAGTTTGTGACATATGTGTCCTTCTTGGCCCTTTCCCAGGGGCATTCCAGCCCCCACTTAGCGGTACAGGCTACAGATGTCGCACAGCACAGCAAGAGCATCTTCTTCGTACGCCAGAACACTCGACAATACCAGGGTCGCACGTTTTGAATCCTGCGACTTCCTGCCGAAAATGGGCAGCCGTGTAAACATATGCGAATTGAGGGTGCTGCACCAACGAGCCCTCACCGTCCGACTACGGAGATCCAATTATAAAGCCGCACATGAACAAAGCCTGGACGGTCGTCTGAATCGCCCAAACGACAACCGAGGAATGTAACTAATCCAATGCAAGCTGCGTGTGTTGGAAGATTATAAACCAAATTCAAGAACAAGTTCTTGCGTTCACAGTCTACATTCACACGTGTCAGTGTTAGATAACTGTGATCAAGGTCTCACTGCAGGCCTGAAGCAGCTACCTACTTTTTGTTTAATAGTAATGTTTCATAAACATAAAAGAATGTGATTTTGCCGTAATAAAGATTTTGTCTTAGATGCATTGGCGCTGGGCGGCAATACTGCTTTGGATGTGTTTTCCTTTATGCAAGCTTATTGGCACTAGTGTGACCTAAAGCCCCGATAAAATCCACACTTCGTGTTGTTTACAAGTAGCGACCAGCAGTGTTGCGAGAACGCGCGAGACACGTGCCGCGAGCAAAATTTGATGCATCTGCGCATTTGACACTCCTTGTAAGACGAACACAAATACATACGGGGGCTTTAGTACGAACCCAGTGTCGTCGCAGGTAATGCAACTGACCCAGAAGCCTCTTTGTTGCGGCGTAATTTCAAGGACAAAATGGGACCTACACTTTCTCCAGAACTTGGTGACATAGTCACTGAGATGACTATGTTGACATAGTCACGGGAATTACCCCTCAGTGACAATAGTCGAACGCGGCTCGCGGAGCGCACACCAGCACCTTGTGAGCACTCGATTTCAGCTTGTGACAGTCAGTGCCTCGGGAAACATTCCAGGCAGTGCCCCGCATACAGTCAGTGCGTTGACAGGAATAGCCAAACTCTAACCATGTCTGCAGCTCAGCACGTGCCCCTTGTTTTACTACCACAGCAGGTGGCCACGATGAACATTGGCTGCACATGGTTGGCATCAGATCCCGCAGCTACTTGTTCTGGCTACGGTTTAAAGGGCTGAATGCTGCTAGTTTTTTCTAAATTTTTTTTTACTTTGTCCAACATTGTGTGAACAGAAAAACTAACATGTGTCTTGTAAGCTATGAACGTTGCTCTTAAACCGAAAATTTCGTATTCTGCTTAAGTTCTGGAACAAAAAAATAAAAATTTAACACACGGTTCAAGTCTGGTTTAGAGAAAAACATACACCAACACCATGTGTCCGGCCGCTGCAGTGGTGCTGTGAGTTGCAAGGCGCACGCGCAGTGAGTTGTTTGTAAACAGCGTTGTTGGTCTATATATATATATTTTTTTTTTTTTCATTTTCGCTTTTTTGTTTTTGCTTTCCGTTCGATACCCTAGTCCCAACCACGTCTCGACCAGCGTCCGCGCCGTGCCTCGGCCCGCTCTGGCACCAGCCACACCGACCGGTCCCACAAAGCGACGTCCACGCGGTTTGCGACCGCAGCGCCACGCGTATAGTTCACGCCGCTGCCGCCGCGATCGCCCCAGTCGGCTTCCTTCTGCCGCGCCGTCGTCGGCGGCGCTTGGCCCAGTCCAGTGTTGTCAGATGTAGGGACATGTCCCTACTCGTAGGGACATTCGCGGTTTTTTTTACGCTGTAGGGACGTAGGGACGGTTTTGAGTTTTCGAGGAGTTTGTAGGGACTTTGTGTGACAACCTCCGTTTTTTTTTTTTTTTTTTTTTTTGTGGGGCGGGGGAGGGAGGTGGGATGGCGAGTGGCGCTTGTGCTCGCTCGAGTTACGGTAGTCCAAATGTTGGCCTCGGCTGAAGCGTTCTTTGAGGGGCCCGGCTGGCGAAGTCGCCTGTCGTCTTGATTATTGTCTTGGTTTGAGCCTATCGTCTTTATTTTATCTGCCTCGTGCGATGTGTTGTTGAGCTCAGCTGGGCGAATACCTCTGGCATCAGATTGCGCCAACCAACGAATTGTGGAGCGAACCGTCCCTGAATAAAAGCGGATAAGTCATTTTTCTCGACATTTTATATCAATGTTGTCTTTTGTATGTTACATATGTCACTACCGCAAAAACTAGAAAAGCTGGCAAAAATAAATTCTCCGTCATCCACACTTGTAGAATGGTTTGGGAGCAAGTCGGGCCCTGCAAAGGCAGGGCCCGGATTAATGTACGGGCTAAGGGGTCTGCAGCCGAGGGCCCCAGGCTGCCAGGGGGCTCCGTGGTATGTTATGCAATAAACACAAAATTCTTTGTTATACTGAATACCTGGATTGACTTCTATTTTTTTTTTTTTTTTTTTGTCCTCTTACATACTCTAAACGACTTAATTTTCGCGAAGACCTAATTTTCGCGAACCGCTTACAATTCGCAAAAAATAAATCGGGCGAACGATTCCGGTAAAATGTAAACAAAATGAAATCTATATTGAGATCCCACCGCGTCGCAAAAATTAGAACCCGCGAATTATTCCAAAACTCCAGCTTTGACCTAAATACAAAATTCAATCGCGTGTTTGTAAAAAAAAGAAAAAAAAGAAAAGGGAAAAGCTAACTAATCAGTTGCAACGCGCTCACGGAGAGGTGCAGAAGGCAGGCTCGCTCAAATAAGCAAAATAAATAAAATACGGCTTTTTTTTCACCTGTAGGGACAGCCATAGGGACATTTGCACACTCGGGTAGGGACACATAGGGACTTTTTGGCCTGCACGTGGGGACTTTCGGGTTCGGCAATCTGACAACACTGGCCCAGTCCGCTTTTTTGATCAGGCGGTGGCGGCCGGGGTCATCGGCACCGGGACGGCATGCGCGCGGGGGCTAACCCCCTCTCGAAAAGCCGTCCGACGTCACACCTTCCGGAAATGCCGCCACGTCCGGTCGGCACCCACCCCCCGAGACCCCCCTCAGTCTAACGGACACGAGAGCGCGCCGCCGGCCACGGATCGGAGAACGCGGAGTCATCTTACGTAAAGGAAGAGCAGAGAACAAAGCAGCGCGCTCGCACATGCGTTCGTAAGGCAGTGGAAACCAGATGACACAATCGCACGTCAGAACAGACGGCGGGTGGAAACGCAAACGAGAGGGCGTGGGCGGAGGTTCCTTCGGACACTGGTCAAAAGAGCCACATTTCGCCCAGGCAATAATAAGAATAACGATTCCCACATTTGCTAAACTGTAAAGGCTAAGAAAAAAATGCCGCGTTTTATTCGTATTTACCTCTAGCACCGTAGTAAAAACAAAAGTACGGCTCCACGCTAAACGTTACCAATTTCCTCTTCAATTTCTTTTTGTTTGTTTTTGTTTAGACGAACTTAGTGTAGAATTAAGTTGTATGCATTTTGGGTTAGCTGTATGTTATTTTCTCAAGCCGTACACATTTCAAAATCCGAAGGTATCGTTTCTTCCTTTAACAACCAAAGGTTGTAAGAACGAGCAAAGCTTAAATAATGCGCAAAACTTTTTTTTTTTTCGTTTTGATTAGACGATTTTGAGGAGCACTGCAACAGGGAAGTTAGAGTTTCGTAGACGTCAATTAAAAAAGTTAGTCACGAGAATTTTACTTTCAATATCGTTAAAATAATTTTGTATCACTAACTGGTGTTCGCAGACGTATTACTGTTTGTTCGTTGCAGGATGATCGCCGGAAATTTCGAATGTTGAGAGAGACGTCCACCCCCGCCGATGTGTACACGATTCAACAGTTGCGTCCGTGCAACATCGAATCCCAAAAGACGCCGAAGAGTGACGTCGCGCGAACGAACTGACAAACTTCAGGCCGACACAAACGACAGTCGACGGAAAGTTTTCGCCTAAAATCAACCAAACGTGTGGGTGGAAATTTAAGACAGCTGGAAGTTTGCCTTCGAATCAAATCTTTACTGCAGCTGGGAAATTCAGCCAATCTGGTATTCGACGGCTAACCTGGGGTCTTGAATCTGTACCATGCGGGAGTGTGATTACACGATGCTCGATATTGAAAAATTAATTCTTGTACGCGCACAGAAGCAACGTAACAAGCTCCAGACCACTTTTAAAGGGGCATTCAAGTGCTTTTCTTTTCAGAAGCTCATTTTCGACGGAATATAGTTGCTCTTGGGCTTCAGTCAATAAAAATGATTAGTTCTACAGCGTATACACTAACGCGCCGATCCCACTTTGAACGGTACGCATAACTCGAGTTCTTATTTAACGTAATGCGCTAGGATTTACTATGGAGGTGCCCAAAGGTGGTGGAAGCTTTCACTAAAATTCTGGAAAGATTGCCTCAACCAAATAAATCACAACAATTAAAAAAAAAAAAAAAATTAAATAAAAAAAGCTGTTTCCCCGTACCTCGCATATGACACCTAAATAATATTTTGTGTCCGGGCCAACTGAAGTGAAGAATGGGTGAGCCAATTGTATTTCCTTTCCATTTCACCGATTCTCCAGTCGTAATAAATGCCAGAATAGCACTAAACAATTTCTTTATGATTTTGAGAAGAAGAAAAAAAAAGTTTTTATTTGTTTTTTACTCCGGAGGGTTCGTGTATTCATACTCTCAATTAATGAATGTACCACTTTCGGGCACTTCTGTAGCAAATCCAAGCGCAATACGTAAAAAAAAAAAAAAAAAAAAAAAAGACTTTTGCGGAACGTCCAAAGTGGGATCAAAGTG